TTACCTGGGAAAGGCTACTGGAGCAATGGCTGGAAGAAGAGGCCCCCATGCTGCAGGAACCAGTTCATAGCAACTGAGACCAGTGGTCCAAAGGCAGTGATCGCCGCTTCACAAGAAGACCGGCACTCCGAAATCTTGCAGCAGATGGAACAGCAGGCTTTTAAAGCGGTTCAACTGCGCACAAGCCTTTAAGCCAATGTGTAGTCATTGCGCATTTCAGGTGAGAGAGTTGGCAGCGGAGGTTGTTGAGCAGCAGATATGCTACAAGGCCGGCATCTGTTGGTTTCCAAGCTGCACTTCTCGGCCGAACTGGAAGGAGCAGATCGACGCCATGCAAAAGCAGCACTGTGAGGACTACACGGTGTGGTCGGAAGAGCTGCTCCGCGAACGAAACGAGGCGACTGCTTCATGCTTCGACCCTACCCAGCATGGAATATATATGGATTCAGTGGAGCCTGACGCAGAGGCCTGCAAGGAAATCGCTGCTTTGCAGGAGGCCCTCTGCTCATCTTCATCGATCCTACAACCTAGATGCTGCATGCAGAGACATGATGAGGGATGCGGGGAGCTGGTGAGCTTTCTCCCCTTGCCGTGAACCCAGAGAGCCCAATATCCCTTAATTAAGGAATATGCCTTAAATCAGGATATTAGGGCCCCTATAGTTTAAGGTATGTTCCGTATTCAAAGGGTATTGGGCTCTCTGGGAAGGACCTCAGAAGCCAGGAGCAGCTCTGGCACGAGGAGCTTGGTAGCTGGGTTGTCACTTTTACTGCCTGGTTCTTAGTAGGGCATGGGGGAATGGGTTATTGGGGCTTCTATAGGGGACCTTAAGGGACTATCATAGGGATCCATTCCCCGATTCGCTACTAAGAACCAGGGAGTTTTACTGCCTCTATGCCTCAGCGGTATCCTTAAAATCCTCAAAGCCCTCCTAAAGCTCGAAATCCCAAGACTCTACCTGTAGAAAACATGAAGCCCCCTTTTATAGAAGCCTAGAGTATAGATCCCCTTAAAAGGGGGCCCTCTTCTCCCCAAAGACCCCAGCTTCTGCACCAGGAGTGGCGAAGGATGCAGCAGTCTGCTCTAGCGCAGGGTGTCCAGCTGCCGAATCCTCCAGGCTCGGCTCAAGGCATCCTCTCACGAAGTGTGAGAGTTTCTGAAAAAAATCGGGGACCCTTTGAAGATCTTTGAAGTAGTAGGGTCCTCGCCTTCATCTTTCTTCAAAGGACCTCAGATTTTTTCCTACTTACCCGCATGTGAGTGCTGAGTTGTGATCTGTTGCAGGTTTTCTGGAGACGAAGGCTGGGATGTCCTTCCTTTGAAGGATCAGGGGATACCAGGGGACTTAGTAACTAGAGTCAGAAGTAACCCAATTGTGGGTTTCTAAGTAGTTATACTCATACTTGCCTTGTTTATATCCCTACTTGCTAAGTCCCTTGATCCTTTAAGTACTACTGCCCTGCACTTTTCCTTGTGCTGCTTGACCGCCGGAGGAAAACGGGGGCACCCTGGAGAGCAGCTCAGGCGCTCTGCGCTGCTTTCCTGCATCCAGGGGCATCCGATTCCGTTCGCTGAGGCAGCGAGAGTTGGTGCTTGGAAGGCCTTTGCCTTTCAATTTTAGGGTTTAGGGTTTAGGGGTTTAGGGGTTAGGGGTTTAGGGTTTAGGGTTTAGGGTTTAGGGGTTTAGGGGTTAGAGTTTAGGGGTTTAGGGTTTAGGGTTGTCTGAAGATGTTGCCCCCGTGGCTGAGTAAACCGGAGGCCGCTCCACGCTGGAAACCATTCTCGAGGTCCAAACTCTGCCAACATGTGCTGATGTGTAACCAACGGGCGGTTCTCATGTTCAGGCAGCGGCTGAGGAAGTTGACGGCATCGAGGCCTGTTCTTGCAGCTCAGTGGAGCACACGGAGCACAGACCATTGCCAGGAGGAGCAGGGGCAAGACGAGCCAAAGAAGCAGGCTACTGTTCGGCTGTTCTCTTTGTCATGGACATTCTTCGCTCATGGTCTTGGCAGTGTTCATGATGCCTCGAGTCTTCCGGCAGCTATCGGCTCGGCTTTCGTCCTTTCTCTGGTGCCATGGACCTAGCCGGGAAGAACGTGCTCATTACTGGTGCCAGTGCTGGCATTGGAGAGGAGCTGGCGCTGCTGTTTGCCAGCCAGGGGGCGAACCTGGCGCTGCTAGCGCGCCGGCTCGAGGTTCTCCAGGAAGTAGCAGCAAAGTGTCGTGCGGCGTCGCCCGGACAGGCCGCCAAAGTGATCCCTCTAAAGTGCGACGTGACGGACAGAGCTTCCTGCCATGAGGCTGTGCAACAGGCCACGAACGAACTTCGCGAAGTAGACATTATCATACTGAACGCAGGGGTCAGCATGGGATGCTATTTCGAAGACATCAAAGACATGTCAGATGCAGACAGGCTGATGGACTTGAACTTCATGGGAACCGCAAATGTCCTTTTCTACGCGTTACCCTCGATCCCAAAGTGCAAGGACTCCAGAATCGTAGTGATTTCTTCCGTTGCTGGGCTCTTCGGCATCCCCTTTCGGACCTTCTACTGTGCCTCGAAGTGGGCTCTGCATGGGTTCTGCGCGTCCTTGCGTACCGAGCTCCTGGATGCATATGGAGCCAACTCGCCAGCCGTCGTTTTGTCCTGTCCGGGTGAGGTTTCCACCTCTTTGAACACTAGCCGACTGAAATTTGGAAACGAAGTAGCTGCCGAGTTCTTCGATAGCGTGGCGGAGCCCTCAAGCCAAGCGGCCAAGACGATTCTCGACGCGACGATTGCCGGCGCGAGGGTTGGCTTCTTCGCGAAGATACACTCTTGGCTCTCCAGCTGCTACGGATGGATTCCTGCAACCATTGACGGTATCATGATCAAGTCTGTAAGAAGTAGAACACGAGCCCCACGTTATGGAAACTGGTAAATGCTGGTCGAGATGAAGATCTGCGTATTCGGCAGCACATCTGGTCGATGCAGCCACGGCTTGACGGTTTGCACAGAAAAGAAGACATGCCCATGTCCTGCTGCATTCAATCAGCTTCAATGTGTGCTGTCGTTTTGCCAAGCATAGTCGATGCATGAGATTGCTAATATCTGGAACGCAGTAGCCACAGTGCAGTTCGGGATCGAAAATGAAGTTCGAACTTTTGAAGATCGAGTTTTCCCGGACATGTTTTAGTCCTTCCCAGTGCATGGTGGTCATCGTCGATTCCGTGAGTTTGTTTTGTTGCGAGAATGGCGAACTGTGCAGGTCAAGAGTGCTTACCGAGATCTCGAACTTCCATCTTTATCCTCACCAAAGACCGGCTGTGCTTTTGTGCAGCTACCTGCATGAACAGTTCTAAGCTCTGTCTTTGCGTGTGCCGTCTGTGGGCCTGTAGTAGAGCAATTTCGATGCATGTTTGTAATATAAAAAGAGAGATATCGGGATAAGTATAATACCAGCAATATTAACAACAACAGTTATAGGTAGTATACAATGCAATAGTAGCAATAATCATATAAATGTAGCAACATTAATAAATTTAACAATAAAAGTAATCGCAGACATAATGATAGCAAACATATTGTTAATATTAAAGTTTAGTATTCGCAGCAATAGTATCAACAATCACTATAATAAGCCACTGGACTAGGTACCGCTTGGAACCCTGTGCGGTTTTGGCTCTAACTTTAACTAAGCTGGAAATGCACAAACCTTGAAATCTGAGGCACGGCTCCGCCATTGTCCGGCAGCAAGAACTGGGGCGCGCACGCACACACTTAGGTGGCGGAATTACCCACGAGACCATGGGATACGAATTCGGACAAGCGAGCATGCGAGCAGACCGGAGAACAGTTCCAATTTGAGGCACGATAACCCTTGGTGCAGACAGCTTGTTTTCTTTTCCATTGATTCTGCGACCCGTTGCGTTGCAGCCAACGTGATTGCAAAACTGGCCACATGCCATGTCTGTCTTTGAGGGTGGCCAGTATTGAAAGGGTTCAACTCCTGCTGCAAGTTTTGAACACTTGGAAGGGGGCCCCCCAATGGACATTGGGCGGGAACCACACTTCCCTCTTGCAGGACCTTTGCTGGCTCACCTTCAGAGGAGCTGTGCTGAGTTGTACCGGCACGGCTGTGGGACACAAGCTTTAGGAACTGCGCCAGGGCAGGGAAGAGTTTCAAAAGACTCATAGCTCTGCAGGCAGCGGCCCCAGAGTGGCATCCTGACATCGCCGTGAAAGGGCGGCATGTTCCGGCACATCGCAGGTCCATCACCCTCCTCACGAAGTGCCCGCACGCCCGGCTCTGTGCCGTTCTCTGATGTTCCGGAGGCTGCTTGCTGGTCGGTTGTGTTGAACCGCGTCAGGGAATTCGGTGTCCAATGGTGTCTGGCTGGACAGGAGCTGCTGAAGAGTCTCGAAAGAGCCTCTGACAATCAGCAGTCCCCATCTTAGTCCTGGAGCCAGTCTCACCCTGGCATAGCCATGCCTTGCCGGGCCGTTGCACAAGGACTTCGCGGGCCTGGGCTCGAATCGGACAGTTCCATCAGCGGCAAAAGAACTTCGGGAAGGCAATGGAAACCCTAAACCCTAAACCCCTAAACCCCTAAAAGTTCCTAAAGTCCCTAAGCCCCCAATGCCCTCTGAAGTTCAAGTGGAGACCTCTGCCTTTTCCAGGCTCGGAGCGCGTACCAAAAAGCCGTTGCCGTCGACAGCTCGCAGCATGGCTGCCTTGCCAACCTCGCGCAACTTGAGGCCCCGGCTCTTCACCTTATGGGTTTATGGCGGCTTGTGGGGTTTATAGGGTTTAGGGAGTTTAATAGGATTTTTCGGGTTTGGGGTTTACAGGGTTTAGGGTTTTTTGGGTTTAGGGTTTATAGGATTTAGAGGGTTTAGGGTTTATAGGGTTTATACTGGTTTGTTGGAGAGGAACAGCAGGTGGATTTCCTTGCACTCAGAGGCGCATGCCGGGAATGTCGACACCGCCAAGGTCGGCACCAGACAGCCTCTGCGTGGTTTCAGACGCAGAGCTGTTGCCGTCAGGAGATGTTGACTGCAGCTCTTCAACTGGATCCTTCCAACAAGGCCCATTCAGAGTGTGATTGTTCAATCTGAAAATCACAGACAAGCTCTTGCCAGAACTACCTCTCCTTCCGTCGGTGGTTGGCCGGCAGTCACTGAGCTCTCTCTGGATGAGAACATCTTTTCCACGGATGCACCTCTGCTTCTCACAAGAACTAGGTCGAGTAGGTCCTAGGCACCCCGGCCACAAGACCGGCGCCACCAGCGCTTCCCCACCATGAAAGCGTGCTACCTGCGCACCACACGGTATGCAAAGACCATACGTGCAGCACTCTTAGAACATCCCTGCTTAAAAGGGAGCGGAGTGTGTGAGGTTGCATTCTCCATGAATGCAGACACCAAGCAGATTTCATCAGATTTCTACTCGAAAAGTTTGCCTGTGTGCAGTGCTTACACAAGAATTGATTGCGCTGCTTCCGCCGCTGTTTCGTCGGCCGTAACCTCAGGTTGAAGGTCATTCTATTCTCGCAATTGCAAGCGATTCAGTCACGTGACTAGCAGCAACAGGGACGACTGCAGAGGAAGTCTTCCCGACACTCAATCCTTGCATACCCGCAGCAAGCTGCAATTGGGCCGGCCCTTCCTAACGTCGCCTCCCCGACGAGCATGCTCGCCGAGGCAAGGTCAGTGGTAGTGCGGACGTATCTATCTCTTAGTATAAAAGTACGTAAACGAATAATGTGGATCAATGCGGTGAACCTTTCCGATGTCTGAGTTATCTGTCTGTTCGTCTATCCAGGTTGTGGTGCAAATACGCCTGTATTACAAGACATGAATATGAGTATCTATGTGTCTAGGCATAGACGGAGTAAGGTGGGCCGTGACATGAGTACATGGTCCAGATGGTGCGATTGCAGCTGTGAGAAGAACACCATACATGAAGTGGTGCCTAAAGTATCGCATCAGCGACAACAGAGGAACAGTAACAATAGCTGCATAATAGCAATACACAGCAGCAAAAGCATCTCGCCCCCACTACCAACAGAAACACCACGACCAAGACCGAAACCAGATGTAGCAGCAGCGTCGGCGGCGGCAGCAGCAGCAGAGCAGCAGCAGCAGCGGCGGCGGCGGCAGCAGCAGCGGCAGCAGCAGCAGCAGCACCGCCACCACCACCACCACCACCCACCACCCACCACCCACCACCCACCACCCACCACCCACCACCCACCACCCACCACCCACCACCCAGCACCCAGCACCCAGCACCCANNGCAACAGCAACAGCAACAAACAGCAAGCGTAGCAAAGCAAGCACACGAGCTTTAAAGATAACAGCAATCGCAGCAGTAAGAAGAACAATTCATAACTACGAACAAGACCAACAATCATACCAACAACAACTCGGTTTGCTGGAACATGTAGTGCTCGTAGCTAGAATCAGCTGAATCAGCCAGAGCGGCGGTGATTGTAGTAAGATACATGGGCATTCTGAACCCGAAACCCTAAACCCC